TCTCTCTCCCGCTGCTGGTTTTCGCTCACAAAAGGCTTCTATGGACCAAGGGAGCGTCAGTGCTAATAATGTTGATGCTGTGCCAAGCCCAGCTGGTGGTGCCCGGCACAGGGCATCGAGTGTCTGCTCTCCACAGTTGCGGTCTTTAAAAGGCCCTCTCCTCTGCCAACTGGGATCAGAGGGAGGGAGATCACATTGCTGTAATAGACGCAACCAACCTGTGAAGCTGTGTGGAGTGCAGTCTGTTAGCTCTGTATGACACGTACAACATCAAAGCATCATGCTATGCGACACGGCTGCAACGAATATGTGTGTTTTTAAAGCACTGGAGAGCAGGCTGCAAGAACACCTAACTAGAGAGTAAAATATATCAATAAATGTATGTAAGAAAAAAAATCTATGATGTATGTATTTCATTTTAAACACAGGTACACAACTTCAATTTGGTGATGAATGAACAGTGGCCAAGACATGCACAAAACAAATAAAATAATAATAATATATATACTGTATATATATCAGCTAGAATTGGATGTTGCTGCATCCGTTGGGCACTGAATCAAATGAATCTGCTGCTGCTATGTGAATATTTACTGTCAGCATTTCCAGTGTACTGTAGAATTATTTCAGCTGCATGGTGAAAACTCAGTATTGAATAAATAAAATGAATCCCAAAATAAGAAATAAAATGTCCACTTTATTTGTGCAGCGATTCATATCAGGCAAAATGACAGAATGTGTCCTCTATTCTATATCATATTGACTGGGGGAACTCAAAATTTGCCTCAACATCCACACCGAGTACCCTCATTTTGTGAAAAATGCTGCATGAATGAAGTTCACATGGGAGAAGGGTTCACATGTCGGTATTCTCTTCCCATGGTCAGATTCCAGGCAGCCATGTGCTACCCCGACAGCAAACCTGAGCCAAGTCTCCACCAAACACGAGGAACTGAATCAGACATCTTACAGAATGTGCTTCACACTTACAAAACAAACACACACTTGTATGTAAACATGCATGCGGTAAAACACCTTCTAACCAGAGCGTAGCTGCCATCTAGCAGATTTCTCTGTCCCGCACTGTGTGGGTGGCCCCCTACTCTATTCCCAGCAGTGCTTGTTAATGCAGCAAGGTCTCTTTTCTCTCCCTTTGTCTCGCTCTCGCTCAGTCCCACTGTACATTTCTCTGCAACCATGCTCCCTCCCTGTTTCTCTTCCTGCGTACACAGTACCACTTACTCGAGATGGATGCAAATGCAATAAAAACATACATAGTCCTCAAAAAGCATACTTTTTAATCCCAATATTAACAAAACATCCACCCTTAAAAGTTAACATTACATTTAACCCTCTGGATATGATTTCAGTCTTTATTGATCTGGTACCAGCAAGTGTGATTTAATAATACAGGTCCCAGAGTTCAGTTCATAATAACGTATATCGACCACTGAGGACATCAAACAAACCTTGAGTGAAAGAAGACGAGCAACCCGTGTGTGTGTGTGTGTGTGTGTTTACTGTGCAACCAAACAAACCATTGCAAAGGGAAGCTATTGTGCAATTGTTTTAATCCAAGTCTGATGAGAAAATCCATTGAATTAATGATCGAATGTTGCCTTTATGTAAAATAAATGAATTTTGTCTTCAGAGCTACATGCAGGGGCCTGTTTTTCAAAAGTGATTTTCAGGCACTGCTTACATGCAGATTGAAAACGGTTTCACAAATACTTAGCCACGCATCACAGGCAGATAGTTTGTTTTGATTAGTGAAATGTGTCAGAATTAACAGGAGAGGAAATTATCTTATGATGCAAATTCAGTGAAATGCATCATTGCCTGTCAATCCCTTGTGCGTGGGTATGCACTGCGTGTCCCATCGGGGAAAGGCAGATTGCCATTAACGAGTATATAGGGAGGCAGTTACATCATGCAAATACATTGAGTAGTTATTGCTGAAAGAATGCTGGCCATAAACAGCATTACATATGTAAAATCTTGAGGACTATAACCATATAAATATGGGAAATATACTGTACTAAATTGCATCTGTCTTTCCCCTTCATCTTGAGGTCACCAAAAGCTTTCCTGTGTACCACATGCAGTAAAAGAGTGTTTTTATAATGAAAAAAAGGCAAGTTACTTTTCTGCGTTGGGGACAAATTCATTGTCATTAGCAACTATTTACTATACAGTATCCTGGGAAAGTTTGCTGAGCATGCATGTTCTTGTGCTGATTTGAAGTAAAGGGCCTTGCCTAAGGATATCCCAGCAATAGCTGCTGATGGAAAGGACATAAAAAAGGGTCACACTTGCGGATTCTCTTTATTGGTTCGTCTTTATCTTGAGTATCTTCATGTGTCTGTTCTGTTAACAATTTAATTTCGTCCGTGTTAAGCTTACATGCTTTTTACAGTGTCCCATGCCAACTAAAGCAGCAACCCTATCATGTTAAACATATTACCCAAATAACCGCTCTCAACTAAAAAGCGAACCATTGTTGTGAGCTATTACACCAGAATTGCAGTGTTGACACTGGAGAACATCCCGCCCTCTGTTGTGGTAATTATAGCTCAATCATATGTAGACATAAATAAAATGATGCAGATGTAAAAAAATATCTGGCCCTAAAGCCTTAGTGAGGCGTACAACTGGGAAACTGCCCCCCCCCCCCTTTTCCTCAATTAAATCCAAGTATATACTTAGCTCGGTGAATGGGGATTTAAAAAAATGCAAATTACAATGAAGCATTCAGACCAAATAGCTCATTAGCTGCAGGCAATAATTATACGCAGATGGGACAAAATGATAATCAGATTATCTACCTATCTATCTATCTTTCTATCTATCATTAAACAGGTTGCAGGTCGCAAACTGCTGTTAATTCACATAAAGAGATTGATAGGGATATGATTAAAGAGTCGACATAAACCAGCGAGATCACACACACTTGCACGTTCTCACACACACACACACGCGCGCACACACACACACACACGTCCAAGTGCATTTGTGGCTGCGAGCGTGCACTGGGCCGAGGAGGGGCTTCTCATTATGCATCCTACCCTGAGAGGCAACACTCGGCCTCACCCAAGGCTCAGAGTGTCACAGTGATTATACACTACCCCGCATTAAAGCGAGCCAAGTGGCGTGATAAAACATCACATGCACCTCTCGACGCTCGTAACACCCCCACCCCCATCTTTCCTGCCCGTTCTCCTCATCCTCATCAACTCCCCTCCTGCGGCCGCCATCTCACCTTCCCCATCCCCATAACCCTCCTCCTCCTCCTATCTCAGTCAATCAATCCTTCATGAAATCACAAGGTGACATGGATGGCGTTGTCCTGGTAACCATTGCTACAAAACTGTTGCCTAGGTCCCCGAGTACAAACAAGCCCGGAGCCCAGCGAGGCTTCTGTGTTGGAGAGAATGAGAACAAGGTATGAGAGATGGGAAATAAAAAGCTAGGAGGAGGGTCGGGAGGGGGAAGGTCACCCACTGGCTGCTGCCGGCCACTTTAATCTAATGATACTCTTCAAGGTGGCTTTTCAGTAATGAGCACTGTAGCATAAATATCAGGATCTGTAAATTAAATAAATGCATTTGAGTTGCAGAAAAAAACAAATATTATTCTAATCCATACATTTATAATGTAGGTATGTGCTATTTTTCAAATTCACCAGCAGAACAGTTTTTCCATTAATCCTTTATTATGCCAATAAAATGGCAATGTTTTTATATTCGTGCTGCTGTTTCTTCATAGACGCATTCTAAGGAATCCTCTTAGGGCAAAACACTCTCAAGAATAAAATACATCAGAGCCGGGATTTATAAGAAAGAGCACTCTAATGAAGTACTTTATCAAAACTTGCAGTAGCCTTTGGATGCATTATTCATTATTTAACAGCGGTTTTAGTCCAGTGAGATATGTCAATATGTAGCATAGGATCTGACAAAATGATTCATGCAATGCTAATGAACCAATTCAACATTCTCTACTAATATAATTTCCAGAGGAGGAAAAAAATATATCAAGTGATTTAAGATCTTTGTGCATTGCATTCATCTTTTTGCATACAGTAACCGCTTTGCTTGGGTTTGACGCATGAGAAAAAGAAAACACATACCAATGTTTGAGGGAAATAAATATGATATTTCTATATTTACAGCTGTTTCTACTGTATGTTTAGTGTAGTGAACTATATAGTGTGAATTAAGACTGTGACTGAATAGGCTGGCACCTCCATCCTTAATTATTTGAGGAAAAAACAAGTTTTCATTAGTCAGATTACTTATTAGCTGGCCAGAAGAAAGAAAAGCTGGCTGAAAGCAGGAAAGAAAAGGTTGTTTGTCTGCAAGGAAAGGCATTATGAGGGAGGCAGAGTAAATTCACTTTTTGCAACAATACCCAGGGAGGGACCTTGAATGTCCATGAAGAGCTCCATTCCGTTTTTCACTTTCAAATCACCTTATCCCATGATTTCTTGGATGCCATCCTAAAAATCCAAGGCCATTATTTCCATCCAATTTGTTCCCTCTCTCTGCATGAACACTGACAGATTGTCATATTTTGGCCACGCTCCCAGAGGAGAGTTGTGAGAGGCAGGAGGGCAGATAAACGGCTATTACCATTCACACCGCCTCATTACGGAGCATTTAGACCCAGGAGTACCAGCCCAAAAGCACCACGCAGAGGGCGTTCATGCTGCTCCTGTGCCCACCCCCTGGTGCCCTGTACCATGGGACTTGTGATTGACAGCTGGTGTTCATTTATTTATTTTTCTTATTAAATGTACAGTCACATTGGTTCATAAAAAACATTCGAAACACCCAAGTGCTTGCGGATCAAACCCCCACAGGAGCTGTTGCAGTTCATATGGTTTCAGATCGATTTGGTCATTTGGACATACAAAGAATGAATTGCAGCTATAAACATGTTTTTGCATACACAGCATAACATTTGCATTACGCAAGCAGCATGAAAGATTTTGAGCCTACCGTCATGAATCCATCCAGCAGGCCCGAGTCCGGTTTGGGTGGGGCTTGTAGCCGCTCCATTGACCACTTCTCAATGATTGACGACACTTGAGAGTTTTCTGTGTTGAGGATGCGAAACCCAGTCATGTTGACTCCACTGTAACGATACGGCTCCATGTCGAGGGCAAAAAGGTCCTGGATGCATAAAGATGAAAGTCTAAATGTGTTTGAGCTGCAAAAAATAGTTAATTTATTATCTTTGCTCGTACACCTGTGCATCTCTCACCTGTCCTCAATAATCAAGATCAGACATTTGAGTGGCAGCTTTAACAAACGATTGCAGAAGAGTGCGGTTGAAGGTATTTCAGGAGCTATTTTATCTCATGCTGAGGCAGCAGCCTTGATGAAGTCAATGTTTTCAAGGTTACAGGCAGGCTTTTGGTGGACTGCCATCTATCATGTGGAAGTGCAAGGACAACCCAATCGCCCTGCATACAGCATGTCTGGCATCTCATCAGGCAGATGTCTTTGGGATGCAACAACACAGTTGACAGAACAACAGCAGGTGATGGACGCAGAATGAGGCTACCACGGTCAATGTTTGCTGTCCTATTTCTAAATCCAAATGGATAGCTCTGTACCAGTATACAGCAGCTTTGGCCGGCACAGTGGCCATCCAACTGGCCAAACACTGGCTGATGTTAACGTAGGCATGTTTTTCCACCCCAACAAGCGGCAGCATGCCGCTGAGAGAGGCTTATGATCATTATTCTCTTTTCTTTTCCAATGACATACCTGCTGTCACTCACTCCCCTTTCATCTAGCCAGGTCCTTATGCGGATGCACAAGGGATAATTACATGTCCTGTGCACTGGTAAATGTCTTTTTAGGTCACTTTTCTTTGACCTTTCCCTCAGATCTCCCAATTATGCTCCAAACAACACAGCATGCCGTTTGTTTGTTAGCTATAATGGACCAAATGGGATACTCAGGGCTATTATCTGAGCTTTCAGTCTTCTCTGGGCTCAGTAAAGATGTGCTGCTGTTCATCTGCAACATAGCAAGCAATCTTTGTAGTGGCTAGATCAAAGAACTTTGGAGAACTTCAATCACTGCCAGAGTCAGAATAAAATATATCCAACTGTTCTGCTTTCCTACACTCAGGGTTGTGGAAAGCCACATGCGGTGAGAAGGTCGGTGAAGAATTGAGAAAATAAACTGAAGTTCAACTTTCAGAACTGATACTTTAAAAATGCAAAGAGTGTATTTACAATCAAATACATGATGATGAGTCAGCTTTTCAAGGTTATCTATTTCTAACAGCACAAATTCAGGTTGTAGTTAAGGTTCATAATGCTTCACACAAAAGGAAAATAATAGTTTTTCTCTGACTGGCTCCTGGTTGATTAATATTTAATGTCAGAGAGGAAAACTGCTTTCAGACACTTCGACAGACAATGTATTTTTGCCTGACAACAGACAAAAGACAAACACAACAACAACAAACACAAATTACAACATAGTATAAAATTGCCTTTGTCAACATAAAAAAAGACGTGCCGGCGTACTCACCAGGGTAGTAAAAATATAATGGTAGTACTCTGTCATCATACCCATGGCCAGGGCCTACGGGGAGAAAAGAACATCGGGCAGTAACAAAAAATCAAAGATTCACAGCTTAATGAACATGTGACTTCATTTAATTTTAACTATTTATTTAGTCTGCAACTTGCACATTCGGACACTAACATCTCTGAGAAAAGAAAGTTTTATATTGAAAGAGACCACAGATATATCTCAACCATTTTGAGTTGGTGATTGATTAAGAGAAGCATTGAATTATCATAACACTTGTGGCCATAACAAATACAAGAAAGCATTGCAGTTATTGGATAAAAGGGTACCCTCTATAAACTTTAAGCCAAGGAGTGTGTCGAAAGTCGTTGTCATACAGTTTATGTTTTGTTGTGCCTACAAAGTATTCACCATCAATAAAAATACTTCCTGTTGGTTCCCATAGACACACAGCTCGATTGATAATTCACACTTCAGTTCAATAAGGACCCCGACCATTCTCATAAATAATGTGTCTTTGTAAAATGAATTCATGCCTGTGAGCGGAATTAGACTTTCTAATTAAAAAACCTTTATTGTGCAATGGAGAGCTTCCATTATGACGGGCCAGTAGTAGAGATCTAATATTCTAGAAAGAGATTAAGGATGCACAGAACAGAAAGTAGGTATCTGAATCACTTGCATCAGTGCTTAAAGAGAGAAGGAGTAATAAAGGGAAAACTATACTTATTGTTTCCCAGCATAAACATAATGAGTGTACTTTGAGTCTATGTATTGAGTACTGAGTCTACGCTTCCATTAAGTGAAATCACGTACATTTTGGGAGTGCAGGTAATTCAGTTTTAATTTAATTCAAGAAGCGCTATGATACAATCAATCATCCTATTCATAAATGTAGCACACTGTTAACTTAACTGCTCTATTTACATATTGAACTGAAATGTGAATAGCATGGATCCCCAAACTGTTCAATATTAAATTAATAAATAAGACATCATTATGAAATAAATATATATAATATCAAAAAATGGTGTAAAATATATAAATATTTATATAAATCATATGTGACAACATCATTGTCATGGCATTATGAAATTTGACAATATGAAAGGAAAACTGACATTGTGAAATAAAAAAGACTTTTTAATGAACTCTTATAAAACTAATAATTCAATAGATTTTTATTACATTTACATTTAATAAATTCCCAAATCATTCCCAATATTTTTTTCTTGTATATATTTAACATACATTTATTCAAATTACTATTAATTTAATCCTGATTAATTAATTAATTCATTAATTAATTAACTTATTTCATATTAATTACTTTGGGGCGCCATAAATAGTCCCCAGGTTTGTCTTTGTTGCATTGAATTTAATAAACCATTCTGGCTCATCAAGCTGGGCTCATACCTGTTTAAGGATCCAGGCAGCCATCTCATGTCCACAATCAAAGATGACATGGAACTCTTTTGCCTTCTTCATCTCCTTCAGAAGTGGCTTGGCATCCTTGGTCTCCGTGGGCAGCTGTCGAATCTTCAAACGAATATTGTATCGCGACGGTGCCTTGATCAGCTCCTGCAGTCGAATCAGACCTGCAGACAAAGAGGACACATAGCGTGAAAAAGGAATTTTAAAGATGCAGCTATTACATCGTGTGTTTGATCTGCTGCCATTTTGAAGTAGCCCCGATGCTAAGGAGGCCAGACAAAAACAACTGGATTCAGGTTTTCTCAGCAGAAAAAGGCTAGTCTATTGATCCTCCTACTCATGCTTGGCAAGCAAACAGACTGCTACAGACCTATCAAGAGAATTAACACCAACCCAGCACATTGCACCCTTTTATACCAAAGCACGAAATGGAAAGAACCTCAATCTGCACCCTCCTACAGAAACTTTCAACCCCATAGAAGCCTCCAAAATGTAAATTTGCTCTTGTCATCCATGATACCAAATAGTAGTATGGAATAGGTTCAATTTTATCTTGATAGAAAGCTGCAGTCAATCCCGAATCTCCGGTCTCTCTCACACACTTCAGATGTGCTCTGATGAGAGAGGCTCTGTTTGCCCAGCTTGTACTTGCCCCTAGGGAGCCTGACGCCACCGTCACATATTGAGCTACAATCTTCACCTTTCATTTCTCGGCCACACACTCGGGGAGAAAGCCCTCTCCGGGAGATACTGCGATGAGATTACAATGAGTTTCTCCTTCGGTAAAGAACTTCAGAGTGCGGGATGAAAGAGGCTGGATTGATGGGAGAGATGATTACTTGTCATGGGTATAAAAATGGATGGAGCAGTGAGGGTCGTTTGAGAGGGAACTGAAGAGAGATAGGATTTTTTTTTTTTTGTGGAACCACTTTAAGATAGCTCAGCCTATTTTTTATTTTGAACTGAAGTGCTGTGTGAGCAGTTTAATGGTCTTACTGTGAGTAGGGCTGGGTCTCCCTGAGGCCTATAGAAGGATTGGTGTGAAATAGGAACATGCAGGTCTTGTTGTGAAAAGTACCATTGCAGGGAGGAATACTGAACCACCTAGAGCTTTCCTCAGGTAATCCCACTAGATCCCTACTCTAGGGCATGTCCACATCTCCCTGTTTATGTCCGTGCCGACACTTTGGGAGGTGTTAAGCAAGAAAGAAAAAAAACTGTCAAGGGAGCTCAACATTTGGGAAACACTGTCAGTGTCGATGTTTGTGGGCTCTGGCTAATGCCTTCAGACTTTCCCCCTGGATTTTCTAACGGCTGTGTGTGAATATTTTATCCCCTCCGATAGTTTTTCCTGCCAGCCGTCAGATAGGCTCCAATCAGCAGCGCGGGGCCCTGGAGCATGAAGCTGTGTGATTACAGCCCGGGACCAGGTGGAAGCGGTGGGGGAAAGCAACGCGGCTATGCAGCAGTCACACTTTTTCAGGGCGTCAGGTGTGTTATAGCAGAAACACTCCACAGAGGAGGCCCAAGCCGCTCCTATCTGACTGAGAGAGAGGCGAGAGGAGAGAGGTCACCTTTTGGCATCTTGCTGGGGCAGTTTGCTGGAGAATGAGGGTGTTAACATACTGAGCTCCAAGGCAGGAAGTGAAGAGAGGTCAAGGAGATGAGTCAGAATAATGTGACAAGTGGGACGAGTCATTGGGATATATAGTCCGAGGTTAGCGTACGGGCACTAGCATGCTGCAGGATTGCCTGTTATAGAGATGATGGAGGAAGCAAAATAGCAGTAAAACTATCACATTGCTTGTAAAAAGGACGAAAAAAGGTAGTCAATTTCTATTTAGCGGCCCAATTTAGGACGTCAACTCCAAGACAATATTCATTTGTAGGGAATGAAGTCATTATGCAACCTGTCTAAAATTTAAACCTCCTCTCAACTCAGTCTAATTTACCTACATGAAGCTGTCAACCACATCATGGCAAATAGCTCATAAATTGCGAATGAGCATTTGGATATTGTTATCTTCTCTGGAGCGATTACGCTCAGAAAAATATCACTGCACTCAAGCTAAAATACGGCTCCTCTTCTAAAATGCATATTATGAGCCTCTCCACAAAGTCACAGGACAGACAAAATGGCTCACAGACACATTTGATAGCCACCCTTTAGAAATCAAGTGTCTCTGTGTGTTATTAACGTCTGTTGTCAGCCCCCACATCGTACAATTCTGCATTGCATTAATCTGAAGAGACACTGGGTCATTCTGGGTAATGCCGTTCTCTTTTTTTTTCTATGCTGCTGCTCACTCTCCTGGAAGACTGACATGGGCAGCACCTGCAGAACTGAGGCAGAACAGTAAGCTATTGATTTCTGAATTAACTTGACAGGTTACAGAGCACTCACTGAACTCTGAGCTGCAGTGCTTCTTTTGTAGTTCACCCAGTAATCTCTGTTTTTTCTGGACATTTTACGATATAAAAGCTGAAGGTTATGAAATCTGTCACACTAAGCAGGCAAAACAGAAGCACCACTGAAAGATGAAGACAGACACTGACTGTACCTGTACCTGTGCTGTCGTCATACACCACAGTGACTGTTCTCCACTTGAAGAAGTGCACCAGGTCGAGGATGGCTCTACTGAGGGAGGAGAAGTCGGGATACAGGCTGACAAAGTACGAGTCCCTGTTGTCGGACACTTGATGCTTCCATTTGGTCTGGACGTGGGGCACTCCCAAAGCGTTACAGATCGATTGGACTGCATTGGCCGATGAGCTGTGTGAGGGGCCAAAAATGGCCGCCACCCCGAGGGAAAGCTGATCACATGCTAGTAGGGTAAGAAGAGGAAGAAGTGACAAGTTAGCTTAATGCTTTCAATTTTGCCCACATATGTCACACCAAACAAACATGAAGTAACAAGAACGGGTGTTTTAAAAAACATTTACTGGGTGTCAGACTCCTATTCTAGTATAGCGCAGACATTTTACACTCAAAATGACGGTAAATAGAGTGCACCATTGAGTTTGATCTCAGAGACATCCAATGATTGTCTAAATTGATTTTCTGTGCTTGTCGCCACTCTTTGGTATTTACACAGCTCAATAGCAAACATTTGACATTTTTTTTGCAGAAACATGCTGAGTTTTGATGATTTTTTCCTTACTCGTTTTGAATGTTTTGTACTCTTTTATGAGTCATTCCTGTAAGGAGTACATTTCCCAAATGGCATGGGAGCCATATGACGAAACGATTATTTCTTAATTTCTTCAACACAAAAGTTGTTTGCAACTAAAAATCAGCAAAACAATTTCATAGCAAATCCCCCGACTCACCTTTCCTGGAGGCTTCAAAGCTGTCGAAGATGTTTATCCTCTGGATGTCATAGGTCAGCGTGGTGTTTTGGAGCAAGGTGCGGTTCCTGTTGATTGTGTTCAAGGCAAATTTAAAGGCTAGTTCCTCTGCTCCGGAAGGGCCACTCTCAATGGATTCAAATATTCCTCCTGAGGGTCAGGCAAAACAAAGTAACAGCTGAGAAAAAGCCCTCTGAATAACCAGTTCTTGTAAGAACAGAAGATTCCTTAACACAATTGACATTCAAGTAAATGATCGATATGATGCAGGCAATTACAGCTCCAGCAGTGCTATCATTTTTAAAAACCGGTGCTATTGTGTTCAATGCTTTACACAGCTCAGTCAGACACTGACATGGAACTGATTTACAGTGCCGATAAGGCGTCTGGATCTCAGCTAATTTGCATTCTGTGGCAGTTGTCAGTGTAATTATAGGCAATTAGTTACAGTGGGAGGTGAGTTCAGGGGTGAGTGACCTTCTTTAACTCCCTCACTCAGGCTTGGCAGAAAGGTTCACTCTTCCACTTTGTCCCATTGATTTCAGTGATTCTCAAATGAGAGGAGAGCAAAATGAGAAGAGAGCGCAGGGAGTAGAGAAATGAGGGCAAAAAGACAAAAAAAGGGTAGAGGAAAGGCAAAACAGAGCCATGGTAGGAACCAGTAAGATTATGTAAAGAGGAATAAAAAGAAGGGCAAGAACAGAAAGACAGGCAAAGTGAAGGAGAAGGCCAATCAAATCAGAAAACCTCAGGAAGCTTTTAATTATACTCATTAAAAACAAATCGACTCAGAGGTTCAAATGATTATTTCTGCGTCATATTTGACTGTTGATTTTTAATGGGAGAGCATCCTGAAGGGAGGTTCGTGCTGTGCCTGCCTGAGAAGACTTGTTAACTTTTAGATGTATGTGATTCACACCTTGGGATGCTCATTAGTTGTCAAAGTAAAAGCCTACAATACAAAAGATAAACAATACATGCTGTTTCACCACACCGCATGAGCCAGACAATATAATTACCACTGCAAAGTAAGGTGTTGTCAACTTAAAACAGCTCCTTTCAGACTTGTCAATTATCTTGAGCCAAACCAAAAAAAACGAATAAAGCTCCAGATGGTCCATCAATGTGGTTCAGAATCCTAAACAAAGGAAGGCAGTGTTTGAACAGACGACAAATGTGTTTCATTTACAGATTATGACAAGACATTTTTTACCTGCATTCATTTGACAATCAACAAAAATGCATGTCAATAAATTTGACACTAACTTTAAAAGGACATATTGCAAAGTTATGATCAAATTGACGTGCTCTGTTTTTAACTAAATATATCAAATTTTTGTTTCGATTCATCCAATATACAAACGAGGACATACTATCTAAGTTGTTATTGGGGTCAGTAAAGATGATGAGAGTATTTCCACACATACAGCATTAGGAAGAGGTATTGTCATGTTGCAGGTGGTGCAATACGCCGGAGTATTAACCATATTACAGTTTCAAAGAGAACATTTGTATGTCAAACAACTGAAACAGTTGTAGAGTCCAGCAACTACTTTAAACTTTCAAAGTAAAAAAAATCCAACCAACATTCCGAAAGCTGGTCCACCTTTGAGGATGGACAAAATCCTGAGAAAGCGTTACAGAAGTCAAACTTAAAAGTGAACGTATGACGTTAGGAAAAAAAAAAGATGAAAGGGGGTTGTGAGAGCGGCTCTGAGAAAAACTCTTGGAGTCAAGAGCTGAGTTCAGCAGTCCATCCACGGCTCCCGTCCTCTCGGAGGACAGAGAGTCGGTTTGAAGAAATCCAAACTGAAAAAAAGTTTAAAGCCTGTTTATTGATTCAATTACAGAGAGGGAGGGAAAAGAGACTGAAAGAGAAGAAGACAGAGGGAGTGAGGCATTTTTTTAAAGAGCGGAGAAAGAGTGAGAGCTGTACAGTAACAGACACAGCAGCTATAAATAGCGGCCGGCCATGGCAGGAAGGGAGAGAAAGGGAATGCAGGAGGGAAAAGAAGATGTCATTAACTTGCGTTTTATCACTGTCACCACGGCACACCCATATGCTTCCTTGCTTTATGTTATAGCATTTTCTTTTATATGTAATGTCCAGTAGAGAATTGAAGAAGGGGACATGGAGAGAGAAAGAGAGACGCATGTCGCAGTGGAAGATGAGAATTCAGAGTAAACCTGTAAAGGCACTTTAGTACATGTTTTGTGCTTCACTGTCATTGAATGATAATAATGAGGTTCTCATGCGTTGGTCCTCCCACTATACAGCAATGGGATGTGACCATGCTGCTATTCATGGCATTTCATTTCACTGAAATTGCACATTAATCTGAAAAAGACTGAATACCCGAGAATCACCATTAAAGATGATTGGAATCGTGTCTGTCTGACCTAATAGATAATAATTACAATATTGCCCTGAGGGAACAGACAGAGCTCCACTGGCGTGTTGAACAAGTTTGAAAATGAGCATAAGGATATTAAGTTATGCTCATCGGATTTCTTTGGCATGCTCCATGGCTCGGACATGCTGGTTTGAAACTAACCGCATATACTTTGAGAACACAGAAGAGCAGGACAATAAAATTCCGTCCACAAAGGGTTACATTTCCTAATTCCAAGGAGATTTCAAGCATTGTGTTACAGAAAATGAAATGTTTTTTGTTTGATTTCATGCTCTTTGGAGTGTAGCATGTTACATGATAATACTGCTTCAGTATTGTTTAAACTGAATGATGAATTTAACATTAAGATTCCTTCCCAAACTGAAATCTGATTGTAATTTAGCTTGCAATAAATCTTGTATAAACCGTCTACTCATCCTCCTCTTATTAGTGTTGTGGTCTATCTGATTGCAGGTCTGTGAGTTACAGCGGAGATAATCAGTGTGTGTGTGTGTGTGTGCGTGTATGAATTATGGTGACATCATTGGGACTGGTGTGAATTATAGTGCAAATAAAAGCTCTGGTGAGTTATGAGCTGGATAATTATCCTGACGAGAAAAAAACAGGCCTGTTGATATGTGTGTGTGTGTGTGTGTGTGTGTGAGAGAGAGAGAGAGCCTGAGCAGAAAGTGTAATGTACAGGTGATGAAAGTATGTATCACTGATGGTAACATGTATTCTACTGCTCACATGCTGCTCTGAACCAGAATTAAAACTTACACCATATTTCAGTGACTTCAGTTCTCTGTAATTAGCAGAGAAAGAGAATTCAGTACTAAAATAAAAATACGTACTAACTAAACCATGAAGGCAAATACAATTAGCCCTCTCTGCTCAAGGATGCTCTTGTTCACTCGGAATCAGATATGTTGCCATGGCAACTCATGCATATATGCTCATGGCTGATAGGCATCGGCAGTTTTGGAATCTGGGCAGCTAATTGGTGGAGGAAGAACGTTTTGATAGAGAGGACGGCCTGTCTCTGTGACTAATGACCAGCAGTGCAGCTGGAGGATAGTGGTGGGATGTAGGGCGGGCGCTATGGTAACCGGCAAGCAACCCTGTCGGTAGGGCAATTGGCCCAGGTATGAACGTGAAGTAGCTCAGTTAAGCTGGACCTCCACCCACCCCCAAAACCCTGGACTGTTTCTGTCTCCTTCCGTCTTTCAGCCGGTGCTTGGAGCCAATCGGCAAGAGGCAAAAGTGATGGAAAAGATCCATAAATATCCCTGAAATTCCCGATGGGAGCGGTCCCTGACATGTTTGGCGGTGAATGGGACATGATGCATGAAGGCCTGCAGAGAGTCGCCGCCCCTGGTCATTAATCTGAAGATCCCCTTGCGGTAGACTGACCTTCCTATGCTGCACAAGGGCCAATTCTCTGTCACGCTGAAAATCCCCAGAAATCTGACCAGGCCAAGGGATGCATCAACTGTGCAGGATGTTCTCTAGTGCGATATCACACAAACAAACCATCATTTCAAGGTAATTAAGTCCCGGTTTACAACATCATTTAAATCCAAATTTAAAAATCCTTAACAATTATTTTTTTTTTTGCTGAGGACCGACATTTTGTTGTATTCTACATTCTACATGTACATGCTTCTTTAATATTGTTAGTAGCAGAGGTGAAACATAATGGTGTGTTGTTTGACCAGCTACATCTCTCCTTGTCTCAGAGATAATATCTTGCAGAGCCTTGCTGCTGTAAAGGCAGGATAAGGAAAGCATTAAACTTGGTTAATAGAGGTACATTTTATAAGCTGACACTTGATAGAGATCTTGCTTGAGTCTGGTAAACTTGTCTAGAAGCCAAACTTCAGCTTAAATCAAATGAGAGATAGAAGAGTAAAATCAATGGAGGGAAATACTAGTATTGCTGAATAGGAATTCAGGACTTGTATAGCATAAAATACCAACGTATAATAACGTCCACAACCCAAGAGAAAACAGTTAAAAACACAAATAAGCACAAAAAAGTCGACCAACACAGTGAGTCATCAATCAATTAAATTCATAATGAATCAGTCTAGAGTTATGCAAACTGAACATGAAACCATAAGAAAGCAGCTTATGTGAACAACAGTTTAGCTGTTGTAATCTGACTTGTTTGGCTTGTTTTTTCTCCAGGATGGAATCACTCTTGTCACCCTAAAGCCTCTTGACACTAGACTGGACTGTCACCTGCCACTGCGCCGCGTTAAGCCTCAGGCTGACTCACACACTGCAACATACTCGTGTGAGCACATACAATCACGCACTCTTAAGATTGAGCGTAAGCAAACCTGTCAGGTAAGAAACAACTGAGTGTGGGAGAAAATGTGACTGATGTGAGAATTGAATGCCCACGCCTGCGGCATTCAGAGCTACCTAAGTTAATTTTCACTAATAAAAATTAGCTCTACCATTGCCAAAAGGTCCATTTAATCTTCGATTAGAAATGTGTGCCACCACCCTCGTCCCTGACCCAGCTCCAAGCAGGAAACCAGTGATCATGAAACATGTATTAATTGTGAGCGCTGGCAACAGATGTGCTAATTTGCCCGGCTCTCTCTATTCATAATAATGTGCCAGCTCCCTCCTCAAAAATATGTGCTAATTTGCAAGGGCTCATTGTTGATGTGCTAAACTACCGGCTGACATTTTGTGTGCTAATTTGTCAAGGAGGGACCCCTTTTGGTACTAATTGTGCCAAAC